GACGATCACCTTCAGGGCATATTTGGTTATCAGAAAAATGCCATAGTTGTAGAAGCAATTCGAAACGATTTCTGCTCATAACACTTGATATAAATTCATTGCGAAACAGGGGTTTTCTGCTCCAATAGTGGCGAACTGTTGGCATTCGTACAAGACCCATATATCCGACTAGGCCTAAAAATCTTTGCATTTCTTGTCTGTCAGTAGGAGACCATTTATGAAGTCTTGATGAGTGTGGAACATCGTTAGCTGAGCAGATTACTTGCGTTGCATAAAGGTTAGTCTGTTCTACCATCAGGTCTAAAATTTCGTTATCCAGAAAAAGCGAAAAGAAATCGTACGGAGTACCTCCTTGCAAGGCAGCTGCTATTTCTGGACAAATTCCTTGGTCTTGAACAAAATTCTTTGGAAAAACCAAGTGATGGCCTTGTGGTATAGTCCATCCTGCCACTTGCACCACATTACTCTGATTTTCTTCCGAATCTGAACTACTTGATTGTTCTACGAGATTTGAACCAATATTTGAAACTTCCGGTGGACTCTGAGCGTTAGGAAGTGTTTTCTAAAAAAAAAAAATACAATTAGAACACAGATGTTTGGAAAATATTTTAGACTTACCTTCTTATCAGTGTTGCTGGTTGTGGGAACGTTGTCCAACTCGCTCGACACAGAATCTTCACTAGGGGAATAGTTTGGATCTACAACTGAGTCCGATGAGCCATAAATGCTTGGTTCATCTTCGCTGGATTCTGAAATTTAGCAGAACTTAACCTCTTAACAAAATTGTTTATTGTACAGGGTTATACAACAAAAGTGAAAAAAGCCAGTTTCACTTCCGAAAGATATCCCTGTAGGTAATTTCTTACCATCATTTTCATCACACTTCTGAAGTTTTGACAACAATATCAACTGTTTAGTCCGATTGCGAACATTTACGTGATCCATTATCATGAATAAATGCGCTGACGCCTAGCTGCACCGACCCGCTACAGTAACTGAAACGCAACGAAATGACCACGTGCTTCGTTTTAGCGCTCATCGATGAAAGGCGGACATTACCGAAGGACCGCCGGGCGGGACCGACCGTGCTTTTGCAATATAGTTTTCTTGGTGGGCCACGGCGGTCCCTGGGGACCGATCCTTATTTTGCATTTTTTTCCAAAACTTCGAATATTTTCACAAAATACTCCAGACATTTGAGCAATACTACCTAAAAGCATCTCAAAACAATGAAAATTATAAATTGGCCCGGTGGTAAATTTCACAGATAAGCACGTGGCCGTTAACGTGTTAAGAAAACGTTTGTATGAAGATTCAATTAAAACTAATCAAGACATTAAACTATGTCATATGTTGTCTGTTGCACCTGTCAAGCGTAGAAAATCGGGATTGGACAATGTATGTGCAGTGAAAAATAAGAGCATAACTTACTTTTGGGTTTGCGATAGTAAAGCAGTACGTGTATGCCAGAATTTTTTTATTGCTGCAACAGGTGTTACTCGGCAAAGAATCAAGACCATTTCGAAAGTCCTAATGGAAGGAGGAGTAACGAAAGAAAAAAGAGGCGGGGATCACAAATCACAAAAAAGTTTAAATAAGAAAGAACTTGTTCGCAGTTATATAAAAAGGTTAAAAGGACGTTAAAGTCACTCCAATAGGAAAAATTCTAAAAGGATCTAGTTATCTGCAAATCTTTCAGTGGCAAAATTATGGAGAATGTTTAATGAACAGTGTGCACCTGAAATACGTGTTTCATATTTTATGTTCAGAAAAGTGTTTCTAAGTGACTTCAATATTGGTTTTTCGTCTCCTGCATCAGACGTGTGTTCGAAGTGTACTCGACTCAAACAACAGTATAGCATCGAAACAAAAACAGAAATAAGAAATCATCTTCTTGTGGAATATCGAGTGCATAGAAAACGTGCAAATGCTTTTTACGAATTGGCCAAGGAGAATCCAGAGAATTCTTTGAGTTTCTGCTTTGATCTGCAGCAGGTCCAGCCTTTGCCACGTACACCGATTGGCGATGCATTTTACTCGCATCAAGTAAGTTTTTATGCATTTTGTTGTGTAGAACTATCATCTCGCGACCCTACTTTCTATGTATGGACAGAAGATATTGCAAGACGCGGCTCAACTGAAATCGGATCAGCGCTGTTGCATCATCTTGATTCCAAGGACTACAATGGAATCACAAATATTAGGCTTTTCTGTGACGGTTGTGCCGGACAGAACAAGAATTCCCATATAATCCATGCATTGATGTTTTGGCTCAAAAATAGGTCCCTTGGTAGTATAAGTGATATTTCTGTTACATTCCCCATTCGTGGACATAGCTTCATAGCAGCAGATCGTTGTTTTGGTAGAGTTGAGAAATTACTTAGGAAGAATCCGGTGATAGTTTCTAAGGAAGAGTATATTAAGCTGTATAGTGAAGTTGGAGAAGTGAAAGTTATAGGGAGGGACTGGAAAATAGTTGACATTAAAGAACTCGACAGAATATTCAAGAAAGTACCTGGTATTTCAGAAATAAAAAGAGTTTTCATTAGAAAAACAAGAAAATTGAATGGTACTGAAAAGATTACAGTAACAACGCATCTTTATTATAGAGATGTGAATGGTAAAGGGGAGACATTGTAAAAAAAAGGAAAATTTGACCAAAACATATCGCTTAACGAGATTCAATCAAGAAACTGCCTGATAAGAAGAAAAAAAGCCTAAAACATCTATTGCAAGAACACTTTGGTCTAGAATGGGAATTGAGGAAGGATTTAGAATGGTATAAGAAACTTCTCGCTCCCACCATCGATGGCGCTACAAGCGAGGAGGAAGATGTAGAATGTGACTGTCTCGATGAGGAACAAGCACTCCATGTTTAACCTTGTAGAATTAATTCAATTAAATAATATGTTTTTCAGTTTTCTAATTTTTATTCCTCATATTTGACCTCTTTTGGAACAAAACCACCTATGTCCAAATTGGATCAATACGTTAATATACACATAATAGAGATTTATTGCGTCCCATAAATATAAAGGCGATTGTATCAGAAGTTTTTGCCTTCTCCTGATCAATTTATTAAAACGGATATAGGCGGCTTTGAACGCAAGCTCCTCAATTGTAAGAACGACTGACGATATGACCCTAAATAACACAAAAACATGATGAACATTCTCTTGTTAAGCAACTAGTCGCGTCGCCGTCTCTTTGGTGAATGATTTTATTTAAATACTTGTGGAGATCCGGGTTGCGGTCGAGTTCCTGTTCTTAGCAGTTCTTGGTGAGGTACGGGTACCACGTATTTCGAAAAGTGACATTCTGCCGATTTTTTTTTGACATTATGCTGATTTTTTTGACATTATGTAGGTTATTCTACAAGATGTTAACTCAGTTGTACGTGTTGCCTAAACGTCATGAGGCTTGTTATCAATCTTTGGCTCTGATGTGATGTAAAATCTGCTTCTGAGATGGCATTACTGGAGGTCTGAGCTGTAAGTTGTATGTGTTGATGATAATTACATTGGGTTCTTGTCTCAAATACACTTAATTGAGATTCAAAGCTAGAAAGTAGTTGCGCATCCACTTTGTCTTATCCATTCTGGAAATTACATATACAAATTTGCTGAATTTCAAAAATGAGAGAGATAAGAAATATTATATTCACTGTACACTGTCGAATTACAAGCCATATACATGCTAACAGTAATTGCACACAACGCGGGCGCGGTGATGATTTCCCGTAATTCTCCTCAGTTTTTCGTAATTTATAACTTTGAACATAACCTCTGTTCAGAAAGCACAACATATAAATAACCGGCATACTCAATAACGATTTTCTAATACGGCAAATATCACTGATTTTATACACATGCAGACCAATACACATAATCATCCAGATGCGATCTTGCTATTCAACCAACTTTCTTCTCAGAGATAAAAACTTCAGACCCGGATCACTCAGCCTCACAAAACTATGCAACTAATAATGCGTAGTGTAGTTGAGTGATTCCTCCATAGATGGACGTTCACAACGATCCTAGTGAGCAAACGTGGAACGACTCTTTGCGCCCTAAAAACTACCTAGTCTGCAAGTTGACATCTTATAAGTTTTTTTTTGACGTTTCATAGGTTTTTTACATGTTACCCGTGCGGTCCGTAAGCCTGTACGGCATAAGGAAAAGCTTCCGGGCCCCTAAGGCATTCCCCTGGTTTTGCGCCATATAAAAGACATGTAATTTTCTACGATTCCTACATTAAAGCGCCGTGGGACGTACAATGAAGATTAATCGACAAAACCGTCGAACTTCAATGATATTTTCACGGCTACAATACAGTAAACCTTTCATAGCTGCCTGTGATGTTCCCGCCACGGTCTCGAGAGCACGAAAAGCTTTACTCTAAAATATTAGTTTATGAATTTTAATACCGCCAACATGTTAGGTCCCTGGGAGTTTTATGGCGCTTCCTCTCTTTTATTCATCCTCAAGTACATGCAATTTTCTGATGCTCCGTAGAAGCTTGCACTAGAATTCCGGTAGATGTATGTATAATAAAGCAACTTAGCAAGCATTTTTATATTGCAGAATATTCAAAGAAGGAATAATACCTAAACAATTCTCTGTAGAACTGGACAATAGTACAAGCAATTTAAGGGGCTGGCTTAGACGGAACGGAAAGTTGTTAATTCAACCCTTTGCGGCCTACTGTTTTTTTGGAATGTCAACCAATTCGTAGTCAATCCAGCTCTTTCCTGGCGGTACCCGATAATTGCTTGTTTTATATCTAATCATTGAGGCTTTTTATCAGCAATAAAATGAGAACTAGTGAAACATTCGGTGAGAAGGGAAGGTATAGGCTCACGTACTTTACAGAAACGTTCAAATTTTGATGTACGACTCTGTATCAAACAGAACAAAGATTGTAATAGTAGAAGTACGAGGGATGTATTTTAAGTTTTGCATATGGAAATAAAATAACACGGTAGGTAGTTTTAAATGACTTTATTGTTTTTCGAAGTATTCTCCACGAAGATTAATACACATCTGCATGCGCTCGAACCAATTTCCGAAGCACTTATTCCACTCGTTTGCTTGCAGATCCAAAACGGCATTTTTGAATTCTACAACTGCCTCTTCTGGTGACTGGAACCTTTGACCATGCAGTTTTAATTTTCGGGAAAGTAAAGAAATCGTTGGGACTTAGATCGGGACTAAATGGAGGATGGTCCAATAATTCCACGTATTCTTCCGCTAAATACTGCCTTGTTTTTTGGGATGCGTGCGAGCTTACATTGTCTTGGTGGAGGATGATTCTTCTTTCGGGGTTGATTTTTCGAAGCTCGGTGATGACTTTTGGCAAACAAATGGTGGTATACCAATCCGCAGTAACAGATCTTTGCTCATTAAGAGGAATTGTTGCAATATGACCCGCTTTTGACACAAATGTCGCGACCATCTTTTCCTAAATACTTCGAGAACGGATGACTTTTGTTGGCTTTTCTTCACCTTGGAACACCCAAACAGCCGACTGTCGTTTATTTTCTAGTTCATAATAGTAATTCCACGATTCATCACCACTAACAATGCTGTACACATTTTTTGGGTTTCCGGAATTGAAACGGTCAAGCGTTTTTGATACCAATTAACCCTGGCTGCTTTCTGCTCTTCAGTCAACAGGTGGGGTATCCAACGAGAAACTAATTTTCTTACTCCTAATGCTTCATGTAAATTTTTTTGAATTGAGTTCTTTGAGATCTTCAAGGACGCCTCAATCTCGCGGTATGTCACATGTCTATCTTCAATGATGAGTTGGCGCACAGCATTGACGTTTTCCTGGGTGAATGCCGTTTTTGGTGCATGCACCCTGGGATCGTCGCTAAGACTCACCCGTTCACGTTTGAATTCTCCATACCAACGGGAAATTGTCGACTCATGTGGCGCTTCGTTACCGAAAACAGACAGTAACTCAGCAAGCCGTTCTTGTTGTGATAGTTGTCTCTGAAGGTTGTAACAAATTATGGCGCGAAAATGCTCTCGGTTGAGTTCCATTTTTCTAATGACTTGGTGACACTTAAAAATTCACTGTTGTAAGAACACTGCACGTATTATTGTGACACTTTGAATTTAAGTTTAGTAAAGAGTGAGGTTAAGATTCAGTACTGACGTTCGATCCGCGCGGCCTACTATGTTTCTACAGGGTTATCCAAATTAAGTGTCCACCATTAGTAACTTTGTTATTAGTGAAAATACAAAGTTGTTTGAATTAGCAAACTAGTAGCATTTTTAACGCTGGTAAAAATGAGAAATAAAAAAAAACAATTGAGAGTCGTTATTTTGATTTTTTTCAGTAAAATAACATTTTTTTAAATAGAAACCCCTGTATATTATATTTTTTTCTGTTAAAGCATCAAATTTTAAACAAAAAAGCTTACAATAACTTTTCTCCTAGGTTACAAATTGTTGAAGTTATGGCCTCCAATCTGAAACAATTAAATTGTATCGACAAACTTTATTTTCAACATCAACTTATAATCTTACAAAATACAATAACAATTTTTTTTAAAGAAGATGCTCGAAAACACCACCTTGTTCTTCAATACATTTTTGGGCACGTTTTTCAACTGCTCGAACTGTCTTAAGTATGGTCCTACCATCTATCTGGGTTATCTTTTCCCTAACTGCAGTCTTTAACGCGTCAAGGTTATCGTACCTTCGCTTGTAAATTTGGTTCTTTAAGTAACCCCACAAGAAGTAATCAAGTGGGTTTAGATCTGGTGATCTGGGAGGCCACTGTATTGGGCCATTTGTTCCTATCCACTGATCATTAAAAGTAGTACTTAGAAAATGATAAGTACCTCTGGAGTTGTGGGCAGGTGCGCCATCTTGCTGAAAATGCAGATGATGTCTACTTATAAGATCCAATTCGTCTAAGAAATTAGTCAGAATTTCTGACATAAATTCCACATATCTTTCACCAGTTAGGGTTCCCTCATAAAAGAACGGGCCAACAATTTTTGAACCAATTATACCGCACCAAACGTTGAAACTGAAACGGACTTGTGGGCCTCTTGGATGTACTAACAAAAGATTTTCTCTTGACCAATAATGGTGGTTTTTTCTATTAAACATTCCAGAATTTGAAAAATTTGATTCATCTGTCCATAAAAGGTAACGAAAGTTATATACATTTTGGCGACAGAAGCTAAGATACCAATGGCAAAAAACAAGTCTTCTCTCTGGATCCCCTGCCAAAAGCGTTTGAACTGGTCGGTACTTATACGGAATAAATTTGTATTTTTTTAAAATCCTTTGAACAGTACCATAACTGAAATTAGAGTCCTTGAGAATATCTGCTATTGAATTCTCACGATAAGCTTCAAAATATCCAATAACTGCAATTTCCGTGGCCTCGCTTATTATGAATTCTTTTTTTGCCCTTGTTTTAGCAAAAACATTTTCGTTGCCCCTAAATTTTCGATAAAGTCTCAGAAAATATCGTTCATATGGTTGAATGCGAGCGGGATATAATTCACTGTCTTGCTCTCAAGGAGGATTTTCTGCACACTAAATAGCATTCTAACATATCACACTTTTCTTCATGGGAGAACATTTTTCTTTAAATTAATGACACAATAAAGCTTATAAACAAGTATTTACACTAATGTTTGACATTATTTGATTTTATCATTGTTTTCCAAAGCCTTCTAGTTGCGAGTATGTCCAATTTAACAATTTGTCGCTTATCTTAATGCTGTCAAATCGCGAACGCCATGTTGTTTTCATAGCCGTCTTAATATTATAATACTGCAAATAATTAAAAATATTTATCGTTATTTTGACTTTATTTTTGACTTTAGCGGAAAAGTCATTATGAACTTTTTTGTTTAAAATTTGATGCTTTAACAGAAAAAAATATAATATACAGGGGTTTCCATTTAAAAAAATGTTATTTTACTGAAAAAAATCAAAATAACGACTCTCAATTGTTTTTTTTTATTTCTCATTTTTACCAGCGATAAAAATGCTACTAGTTTGCTAATTCAAACAACTTTGTATTTTCACTAATAACAAAGTTACTAATGGTGGACACTTAATTTGGATAACCCTGTATATGCAAAACTTAAAAGACATGCCTCGTGAATACCATGCTGATAGGACTTCATGATTGTCTGGGCGCCAAATTAATCCACATATGTTTTGTGACCTTTTTGCTACGATCGTCTCTTCCAGGTGATAGTTCATTTTTCTTTTCTTTGCTACTATACAGGTTCAAGGTTGAGTCACTTATTTTAACTGGGGACTCGGTAAAAAGTGTTGATATACCAAAAATCACCCAAATAAGAGCATAATAAAAAAATAGTAACAGATTGAAAATTTAAAAAAATAGGAATCTTATTACACAGATTTTTTTATATTCTCGACCACTGACGTGTAAAATCTTAACATTTTTTGTTTACTACTCTCATCGTATCTAAATTTGGCAAACTTTTTGTGTTATTGAATGGTTTTTAGTACGAACCTTTGGTTCGATCAGTTATATACTAAGTGACATATAAATCCGAACACCCAGTTTAAATGGTTTTATTTTTAAAAAAGTTGGTGAATGTATTTATCTTACTGTAAATAACAAGTGAACAAATGTTCAGCCTTATCAGTTGGACATTCCGGTTTTTATACTGCTTTTTTTTAATTCACTAACGCTCTAAAAATGAATATTTCAGCCGCAGTAAAGAATCAACGTTGGCGGATTTTGGTTCTTGACATCCTTTACGATCGGTTACGATGCCTAGAGTACTGAGACCTGTACGATTTCGTCAACTTAGTGAGTTTGATAGGGGCCGTATAGTGGAACTTCGGGAAGCTGGACTTTCTTTTCGGGCAATTGCAGTTAGAGTTGTAAAGAAGTGTAGACACTGTGGTTAGGTGTTGTCAGGCATGGCTTCGAGAAGGCCGTACGCAAAGAGCAAGGGGCACTGGACGCCGCCGTAGAACAACAGACCGTGAAGATCGCCGCCTAAGATTATTGGCCTTAAGGGACCGTTTCTCCACTACTAGGTCCATTGCAAATGAATGGTTTGCAGAACACGGAAGACCTATTGGCATGCAAAGTGTTTACCGACGAATGAGAAGTTTTGGCTTGTTTTCATACCGGCCACACTGGGTCCTCCCTTTAACTCGAGAACACCGACGTAATCGCCTTGAGTGGTGCAGACAACGGTCACTCTGGGATCAGGAATGGAACAGTATTGTCTTTAGTGACGAGTCTCGATTTTGTTTAGGCATGCACGATGGTCGTGCCAGGGTTAGAAGGCAACGTGGTGAAAGGAGAAATCCACAGTTTTTTGTTGAAAGACATGTTCATCACACAGTTATGGTTTGGGGTGCTATAGCTTATGGTTCCAGGTCACCTTTAATCTTCATCAGAGATAACATGAACGCGCAGCGTTATATCCACGAAGTTCTAGAACCCCATCGTTTACCCTATCTTGACACCTTGGAATGAGATACCACAGGAGGACATTGACCACCTGATCAGAAGCATGCCTAGGCGCGTTGGAGAATGCGTAGCACATCAGAGTGCATCCACACATTATTAAAGGTCAAAGGGCTTTAAAGCAGCGCAATCACTTTGAAATTTTTATCATTTACTTATCATGCTTCATTAAGTACTTATACAAAATTTTATTAAAATAAAACCATTTAAACTGGGTGTTCGGATTTATATGTCACTAAGTATATTAGTCTAGATGTTTACGAAAACAATGAACTATTATGTTGTATCCAGTAAAGAAAGAGACCAAACCTAAACACATTCACGTATACTTGTACTCCACGTCATCGCGCTCCAGAACGCCGGCACGTTACAGTGCCGTACTAAGAATAAATGATTTGTGGTTTTACGACACGATCAAAAAGTATGCAAAATTATTGCGGGCATGTATAGGGTCCACACATAAAGCTTCAAATTAATAGATTTATTTTAATTTAACTATCATGACAAAAAAAACTGTCTATTATTGTTTTTGGTAGAAGTGTTTTATCAAGAAATTATACTCGAAATGTGTCGTAAGGCGCTCTTATAAAGCAGGCTTCTAAAAAATGTCTTGACACATTAAAGCAATAATTGCGTATGCATATACATAACCACCGCCTGAACAGGGACGTCAGAGTGCAAACAATTAATTCAAATATTAGACTAAGAAATGAATACATAGGTGGGGTTGAAAGAAAAAGGATTTGAATACATAATATATGCTAAATATTATACAAAAAATTGTTGCACAGACATTTTACCTCTAATACCGGAAATACATGTATTTGATAATGAAAATCATACGAGATCTGAGACCGTGGAACTCCCACTGTCATCTAGATTTATGACTGAATGGGCAACGTAGGTATCAGTGATACCGTCTAATTCCCACATTTTAGGTTCGACCTTTTCTTTTACATGCTGAATACATTTTCCCACTTATTCGGTGTTATTCTTTGTATAGCATCATAAAAAATTTAAAACTTTTATTTTCTGCTACAACATATTTTTTTGTGTCTGCCCAAATGAGCTCAATCGGATTAAGCTCACAATGGTAAGGAGGCAGTCATAAAACAGTTTTATTTTGTTTTTTGTGCATTTCATCAATTATATTCAGGTTTTATTTATTTTTCTCTTGACAATCTTGACAATTTGTGACAATTCTGCCTTAAACATTGTATGATCATAATCAATCTTTTTATTTTTAAGCCATCCTTGAATATCTGATTTTTTTGTTGACGAATTTTTCTTTAATTTTCTCATGTGGTATGAAACATTATCTCATACTATAACCGAATTATCTTAAAACTTTGGTAGAGAATGTCCGGAATGTCCGGGAGGAGGGTGGGCTCGAGGGAACAACATCGAAGATAAAATTTGTTTTTCGAACATCTGCGGGATCAACAGCAACATTGATGCTGTTCATCACTACCTGCAATCCAATCGTCCCGCCGTGCTTTTCTTGGCCGAGACAAAAATCTCAGAGACTGCACCGATTAACCATCTCAACTTCCCA